CCACCCAAGACTGAACCCTTTCTGTAGCTGAGCCCTGAGGGTGTTTCTGTGTAAGGAACACACCAGTAGATAATCTCAAGAGCACAATATAGAACAGAAAGGAGCTTTCAAAATGATTTATACATTCCAGAAGGATAAAAACCCTGTGGGAGAGTGAGAATACTGAAATGTGCTCATGCATCAAAATCTTAGTCATGAAGCCAATATCCCTACCAGAGGAAAAAGAAAAATAATGTGGAAGGGGAAGCATAATTTGAGGATGAAAAGGAAATACCATTTGCAAAGGGAAGAAATTAGTACAGAAACCATGGACACACCAAAGTATTTCAATCTTTGTAAGCAACATTTGTGCCTCATAACAGAATCTATGTTAGAGAAAAAATTAAAATATGCAAGGTAGGCTAAGCCTCCATAATTAAATTAGGTGTGTAAAGAAATTGTGCAGTTGAAAAAAACAATGATGGTGCCTTGTTACCAGAGTGTCCTCTCTTTCCTGCCCCTCCTCTCCTCTCCTTTCCTTTTTAAACAAAATATGTTTAATGACCTGGGGATGGAGAAGTGGACTTCATAAGAAACTGATGATCACATGATAACTTCTTGGCATAATAGCCTCCTTGGGACCAAAAGTGTCTACCTACCTTGTATGTGTTCTTTTCTGGCTTTAAAACATACCAAACAATCAAGACTTACTTGTAAAAGATTACTATAATGTCAGAAATCTGTCAGTTTTGCTAAGAGAAATATCTTGGTGTGTTTCAGGGTTTCTAATGAGACCAGCCTCCTTAGAATATCAGGTCACTTACAACTGCACTGGACTCTGGCTGAGGCACATGGTGCCAACCACATTGAGTCCTTTTGGCCCTGTTGGCTTTGCCTTTAGAGGAGCTGCCTCTTAACCTCTGTGATTAGGAAGGAGCTCTTCCATATTGTCTAGTTCTTGTTTCCTGGGTTAATTTCTCAAGAGACTTACTGTGCATCCCATGGGTCTATATGGAGTCAGAGTCCAGAAATGAGCCAAAGGATCTCATTACAAGTGGATCACCCAAGAAATACTGGACAAGGTTTAGTTTCTCATGGCCTCAAACTTAACTTTTCTTCCAGTGAAAAATAGCTCAGTTCAGTTGAAGATATGTTGAAGGTTGCTTGGTGCTTTTCTTTGTTCTTTTGTATCCTTGTTAGTATTTTGTCCTTCGTCAAGCACTAGTGAAAATTTTTACACCTGTATAAAGTCAAACATAGTGCTCCTTTGTGTATATAGAAAGAGCTTACCTTAATTCTCTTACTAGCTGAACATGCTTGGATTGTTTGAGTAAGGATTAGACATTGAAAATGAACATGAATATTTCTTTTTATTTGTGGAACTATACCAAGAAATTAAGGCAAGTGACTTAACATCCTAGAGAATCATTTTCATTCTCATACTCATTATCGTCATAGCTAATAATTACTGAGCACTTACACTACCCAAGAACTGGTACCAAGTAGGTATTTTATGTATCAGCATGTCTAATTCTCATAAGAATCCCATGCAGTTACCTTGAGAAGCTCCTGTAGCCACCAGAACTCTTGAGTGAAGTGCTTTGCATTTGCCTTTGGTCTCTCGCTCTAGACACAGCTGTAAACTGTGGCCTCCGTACAGTGTGTCAATAATATTTGATTTGCTTTTATATCCTGTGCTTGTACATGGCATACTGCATGTATCTTTACCAGTGCTCTAACTATGTGGTACTTCTTGGCATTTCCCATTTTTAACTTAGAGAAGAATGCCAATGATCAGACAAAAACTAAATGGAAATATCTGGAATATAAATGGAGGTTAGTGTGTAAGCTAATCAACTATTAAAACCTGTCAAAGTAAATATTAAAGATGACTCAGGTTCCTTGTTCCTTCTGTTCTTTGACTAGTCCTGGAGATCTATTCTTTCTAGACAACAGAAAGTCCCAAGAATACCTAAGAAGTCTTAACATTGCTTTTCAAAGGTGACAATACATTGGTCCTCTCTAGTGCTGATGAGATGAAATATCTTTTTTATCTTCATGCCAACTCAAGTCTGAGTCAAGGCATATTCTAACTCAGAGACCTCATTCCTTTAACCTCAGACCTCCCCATACAGTCACCCAAATGAAAACCACAGAGCACTAACTGCAAGGGTGCTCCTCCAGAAAATCCTTCATGAACTTATCTGGTAAATACAGTCCTGAAACTATGTGACTAAAGGCTTCTGCCTATTTTTATATAGCCATAAAAGTAAGACTTAGATCCTTTCTTGTATAAGACAGAGACCCAAAAATTGCTTTTGTTATTAGAGATGATTGCTATGTCACTCATTGCACATCTTGTTTATTGCTTGTTCCCTAAGTTCTAAAGCCCTTGTGACAAGTATGGGGAGGAGGATAATTATCAAGGCAATTATGGAATCACTACCCAATCATTTTCCTGGTTTATTGTGACTTCCAAGACCTTCCATTTTCCTTATGGATTCTGAATCACTCAAATAGTTTTCTCTCCAACTGCTGTTTTTGTTTTTTGTGTCATTCACTATACCTGATAAAGATGCTCAAAGCCATTTGTCAGAAATTCCATCTGTGTTTTAAATGAGGTTAAAAGGAACTCTCCACTCTTCAGTTTTTAACGAGACATTTATATTATATATTAGATAGTAGAAATAGTATGCACTCACAATAATAATTAGAAAGGAAATGATTAAGAGCCAACTCTAAGACTCTTGTGTCCCTTGGCCAGAGAGAGGTGTGACAGAACATGGGGATGGGAAAGAAATTCATTGGAGAGAGTTGTTACTTTGCTATTATTGCTTGAGGGAGTCATGGGCCTTGTGCCTGGTGTTATGAAATGATGATGGTTTGTCTTTCTATTTCTTTTACCTCAAGCTTAGTGTGACAGTTCCCAAGGAAACACTACTAAAAGCTTGCAATATGTTCCTTGCTATTGAGAGACTCAGAGAACCTGAGAAAGCTATAGCCATTGTAGAAGCAGGAAAGTGTTGTCTGCATAAAAATCATCCTGGGCTCCTAGAATTTATAGATACAAAGCTCAAGGGTCACATGCATGTTTCTTTTGGATGAAGTGTGTCCCACATAGAAGAAAGAGCTAACATGGAGTTACCTTGAGTTCTGTTAAAAAAAAAAGAGCTATTCTAAAGGGCAGAGGGCTTCCAAGAATAAAAACTTAGACACAAACACTAGATCCTAACAGATATGGAAGAAGTTATAAATGATCAGTAAGAATAAATGATGCTTCTGACTCAGGTAGAGTCTGGAGGGGAGTAGGAGGATATCAACCTGAGATATGAAAAACCTAAAGATGTGAAGGATGGATTTTAGTATAGGCTGATTATACTAATATAATAAATATGGGAGGAATCCATATTTAGATGACACAGACTTATTAGAATATAAACTCCAACAAGGCAAGCACCGTGATTATTTCACCTGGCACAGTGCCTGGAATGGAATAGTGGCTCAATATTTAAAAAATTGATGCTACTGTTTTACTGAACTGGATTCATTTCTGAAATTTGTTTTAAGTTCCTTAGTAGAGGGAATTGTTAAACCAAAACAGCCTGCCATTAAGTGCTTACGCAATGTTAAGGCAAACAATGTGTTCACATGTTCTCGGCGAAAAGATGTTATGTAAGAAGAGAGATGTTTCTAGTACTCACAGTACAAGTTAATTTAATATTAAGAGCCCATAAAGCAAACCTTAACTCACGAGATGGCAATTGGGAACTGATAATTTCTCACATTGCTAAAATCCCAATCTAACTAACTTGATGTTCTGAATAGCAAATCTTCCCAAGTTCCACCAGGTCCTTTCTGTCACAATCCCACCATTCCGTTATGGAGTTCCAGCTTTTATCCTTCTTTCTTGGTCTGGTGCTACCTCTTTGCCTATTCTGGGTAAATGGTCTCAGAAGTTTGAAGTACTCACTTTGGTTGTTGCTCTGAAGTTGTCGTGGATGCCATCTTTCTGATTTCCCTGGGCGTTTTCCTGTGTTACCTGTGGACAAGGCCTGTGCATTTGCTCATATGGAGCCCAAACGCGCTTTGAGGAAATTGCTTCTTTGGGAAGGAAACTCACACCTTTTGAGAATGTGCTTTTTGTAATCATAAAAACAACTACTAATAATAACATCCGACAACTATTTTGTAGTGTTATAATTAGCATGGCACTTGCTGTGTTGAGTTGCAACTGCAATGCACAACAAGAGGTAAGGGAAAAGGTTATGGAGGGCAAAGTCACCTTATGAGTTTTAAATTATACCATGTGAGAAGTAGGAACTCATGGGACGAGTTTAAGCAGGTGATTCCTATGAGCGGTATTCAGAATATATGTTCTTGAGGGCATCTGGGCAGTATTACGAAAGCCAGACATTATGCAGCACCAGTTTTTTGAAACATAAAGCATGTTTATCTTCATGGAAAATGATTCCGATTATTTATACACTTTAGTTTTTATTCCTATTCATCTAGCTTTTTTCCCTGTCTGATTATTTGCTGTCAAGTTCTCAACTATTGCTTACTTATCTCATTATCGTTGTCTCCCTAGAGCAACCTCGGACTTTTTGATTGATCTGCACTTGGAAAAACAAACAGAAGGATTTCTATTGCAATTCCACACATATTTTGAATTGTATGAAAATGATTATTAGTAGCTTGTAAATGTAGCTGTTGCTATACTTCTTAGTACTCTGACCTCATGATGTATTTTTCTAGTTACTTAAAGCTGTCCCTCCCTATACTTTACAACTTGATTTTTATGGATAATGAAATACCAACTACCAAAAAAGTCAAAGTGTTTAGGACTATTACAAGCACTAAACAAATGCAGGTGGCATAATACAATAATTTTTATTTTGCAGCTATGTAGATAGGAAATTCAAAGAAGAAAGAGCTACATGTATATAATAAGATATCCAGTTGTACTGAGCTGATCACTTAACCATTGGTTATTTCATTTAAAGAGCTCTTGTTGGTAGACCTCAAGCCCACACAAGGGGCTTGATGACGACATATCCTTTCACTTCATAGTTCAGAGCCCGCCAATTCAACACATTAGGATTGAAAGTGCTACCCTGATATACAAGCAGGATCTCTTGTGGGGACAGCACAGAGTCCCACATGTACAAGTCCCCAATCTCTCCCACAAAAGACTGGCTCACATCAAAATTTCCTCCATAGGAATCCTGCTCCTGCCCCAGAACAATCTTTGGGTGTGTTTTCACAGAGTACTCCTGCTTCAGACCCCTTTTTACCAAAGGTCTCCCATCTAGCCAAAATTCAGCAATGCCAGAAGAGGACTCCCAGCTAGTACAGATATGCACTGGGGAAGGAAAATTTTCAATAGCTTTGAATGTGACTTTTGTTTGTCCAATGTGTAGACTGTATGCTCCAACTCTTTCTTTATAGATTAGTATCTCATTATCATTGCCCATGGTGCTGTAGGAGAAAAGGCTGTAGGCACGGGAAAGGTCACTATAGGCACGAAAACACAAGGTGAAGCTTTGCAGAGGTTTCTCCAGCTGTGGGATCAAACTCACATGATCACTCGAAGATTCTCTAGGGAACACAAATACCTTCCCACTGAGGTCTGTAGAATAAAATAAGAAATATGACTTGTATCATAAATTTAGGAAAATATCCATATTAAACCTCTTTTCTCATTTCATCTTCCTTGACCATCCCCTGATCTACCTACCTGTCTGAGCAAAGGCTTCTGGAAGAAGACTGGTGAGGACAGGGACCCAAAACAGCAGTTTGTTCATGTTCTTCATCTGGGGCTGTGACAACAGCAACAGTGACTAGGATAGCAGAAAGGACAGTGGCTTCCCACTCAGCTCAGAATTCACATCGTAAGACCTCAGATTGTTCAGGCTTTTTATGTACCTTGGGTGACAATGGTAGATGAAGGGTGCCAATCCTGTGTAAATGATTTTTAGGTTCTCCACCAGTAATCAGAGCTGCTGGTGAAAAAGGGATGGCAAGGCCCTAGGCTGGGAAATCAATTATAGTTATTTATTAGACACAAGTGAAACTCCAAATCTGCTGACCTAGATTTTGTTGCTGGAAAGAGGGAGGTTACAGAGCTGCTGAGTTCTGGATGGGATGAGGGACTGAACTGCCTACATCAGGAAGACCTTACTCCACTCTCCAGTAGCCCCTCCATCTGAGAGCTCTGTGCTCTGCCAGGAGCTCCTGAGTCACATGAAGGATGTTCCTGAGCTCAGGCCTTTTGTGGGCTGTGACAACAAGACCTTTTTTTTTTCTTTTTTTAACTTTTCTAGCTCTGTGAAGTAGTCTTCTATTAGTAGGACATTCTAGGATTCTGTTTTCTGCTAAAGACCCTGAAAAGTTCCTTTACCTTTGGTTAGTTTAATATTGAGTAACATGCCCAGGCATTACTATGAGGAAAGACTTTCTACCTCCCTGAAACTTACTATTTTTCCCCTTTTTTTTTGAACTCAGCTCTTCTTTTGCACATCATGATGCCTCTTTTACACACCACAATAAATTTTTTGGGGGTGATATTATTGCTGCCTACAGAGATTTTGACATCTTCCCATTTTCCTCTCTTCTTTTGTTAATGACCACCATTGAACTCACATTTATTCACTAATACCCAGGTACTACATTAGGTTCCAGTGATTCAGTGATTACTGACATTTCCCCAACCCCAATGACCTTCTTCATTCTCTCTGCTACTACTTAAAAAGTCACACTTCATTAACCACCACTCAAACCCTCTCTACCTCTGTAATCTCAAACTGAAGTTTCCTTTTCTGTTTATATTATCTTTCTTGTCTCTCATCTCTAAATTCTATGGAATCTTTAGTACAATCTTTTTGTGTAGTGTCTTATTCCTTCTCTTTTCTTTCTGCAAAACCCAGACCTTCTGATCAGCCCTTTCAATGACACAATAACTGACATCAACAATTAACTTTCTCTACCAATGTTGAAATTATCCTTCAAATATTCATCTCTGGTAAGTCTGTTATCTTTACTTAAAAAAAAAACAACTCTAAATTGAATCTCAGGTTGTAAAGCCTTATTTCACTTGTTGAACAATAATGATGACTTTTAGTGTTAGAGTTTTATACCTATTAGTCCATGAATTAAATATAAGTCCTTTTGCTTGGAAGCCAATGCCTTTTCCAACTGTGCTCTAACCTGGCTTTTGCCTTTCACCCAAATCTTATTCTCCAATCAAACAACCTCCAATTGTTGATCTTCACAGATGTCAGCTTTCCTGATTTTGTTAGTTCTAGTCATTGCCTTCATTGCCATGAATTCCATGGCAATGCCATGAAGGATATCTCTTATCCTTCTCTGTTTCTTGAGCTTCTATCCATTTGTATTAATTACAATTAGCACAACCATTAACAAAATACCTAAGAGAGCTACTCAAAAGAAGAAAGACTTATTTTGCTCATGGTCTTAGAGGGTTTAGTCCATGGTTGCTTGGCTCCATGTGCTTGGGCAGAGCATATGGTGTCAGGAGCATGTGAATGAGGTGTCTGTCTACCTCATGCTAGACAGGAAGCAAAGATGAGCCAGAAAGGAGCCAAGGACAAATACCCCTAAGGAATGACCCCCCCCTCCAGTGACTTAATTCCTCCAGCTAGAGTCCACCTACTAACGTTTCCAGAACCTTCCAAACTAGTGCCACCATCTGGGGACGAAGCATTCAACATGAGTCTGTGGGGGACCTTTCATATTCAAACCATAGCACCATTCTTCAAAACTTCAAAATGGAAAGTGCTTCATAACTTTTCTGACCAACTCAACATTTTTTAAACCTCTTTTGAACTTTTCATAGTGTTTAGATCAGAGACTTTGGAGTATAATTCCAATTTTGCTATTTACTGGTGGTTGATCATTGTATAAGTCAGAAAGTTTTCTGAATCTTAGGTTCCTTCTCTGCAAAACAAAAGATAAAACTACCTACCTCATAGTGTTTTGGGAAGGATAAATGAGATGGTGTAATATGCATAAAGTGCATAGAACGTTGTCTGGATAGCTATTATCACTAGTGTTGTCATTTTAAAGCCTTCTATGGTTATTAGCATTGTTTGTGTCATTACAGATATTAGCATATTTATCTTGCATTCCCTCTAGATTGAAGATAGTTATTAGGTCTTTTTTTTAGTTCACACATTTTATCTAAAAATTTTTTACATATGAAAGGAGACTAGTATATATTTGTGTAATCAAAGGATTCAATTAGGGTAAAGACTTTTTACATGTAATAGTAGAATATAATTGAGTAGTAAAAGCAGGTAATGCTACAAATAGGAGCTGGGAGTAACCTTTATTGAGAACCCAGGGAATATGGAATTCCCAGTCCCAGATGTTATTTAATGAGTACCATGAAATTCAGAGAATAGTATTCACCAGCTGCTTTTAGGTTTCATCATAAATTAACAAATTATCATTCTGTCAACAAAAAAATGGTTTGGATATGAATGTAGAAGATTCTCTTTCTCTCTGGTACTGGGGTTTTAAACTCAGAGCCCTGAGCTTGTTAAGCAGGTGCTTTACCACTTGAGCCACTCCCCTAACCTTTTTGTGTGAGTTATTTTTCAAACAGGGTCTTGCATTCTTACCTGGGCTGGCTTGTACCACAATCTTCCTATTTATGCCTCTAGTGTAGCTGGAATGAAAGGCACATGCCACCATGTTCAACTTTTATTGGTTGAGATGTGATCTCAGTAGCCTTTTGCCCAGGCCTGCTTCAAACCACAACCCTTCTGACTTCTGACTCCTATGTAGCTAGGATTACAAGTGTGAACCACCACACCTGGAAAATCTCTTTTTTAGTGGGAAAGGAGCCCATGAAGCTAAACTGGGGACAAGTGAGCCTGGAGGAATTGGAGGTAAGAGGGTTGCACTTCTGTTGGGAATAAGTGCCAGGTCTTACAGTTGAACATGAAAATGTATTTGAATGGTGTGAGGAGGCAATCTTGGTTGAAAAGTAAGATTTAAAGTAGACTTAGAAAATTAAACGAATATTTTGTGATTGTTAAAAAATAGTAGACTGAGGAGAATTGGAGGAGTGGATCCTGATTTTGTTCTTTAGTTTCCTTCTCTGGAATATGTTTCCCAGGCTTTATAAGAGAATAGCCTCTGCTTCAGTAGTTGTCAAAATGAAAACCAAGATTTCTTTCTATCATAAAAAGGAAGACTCTGCTTCAGTAGAACTCAAGCGGCCCAGCAACTCAGAGAAAGGATTAACAAATGGGACTACAAATGAAATTAAAACTCTTATGCATATTAAAAGAAATGGTCTCTGAATTGAAAAGATTACCCACAGAATGGGAGAAAATCTTTGCTAGCTATACATCAGACAAGAGACTGATAACCAGAATCTAAAGGGAGCTCAAAAAACTAAACTCCCCCGAAATCAATAAACCAATAAAAAAATGGACAACTGAACTAAACAGAACTTGCCCAAGAAGTCTAAGTGGCCAAAAAAACACATGAAAAAGTACTCACCATCCTTGTCCATAAATGAAATGAAAATCAAAACCATACTAAAATTCTACCTCACTGCTGTTAGAATTGCTACCATCAAGAGCACCACCAACAAATGTTGGTGAGGATGAGGAGATAGAGGAACCCTCATTCACTGCTGGTGGAAATGGAAGCTAGTATAACCACTGTGGAAAAAAATGTGGAGGCTTCTTAAAAAACTAAAATAGATTTGCCATATGATCCAGCAATACCACTCCTAGGGTTATACCCAAAGGAATGTTACTCAGATTACTATTACAAAGGCACCTGCACATTCCTGTTTATTGCAGCACTATTCACAATAGCCAAACTATGGAAACAGCCAAGATGCCCCACTGTAGATGCATGGACTAAGAAAATGTGGTATTTATACACAATGGAATTTTATTCAGCCACAAAGAAGAATGAAATATTGTCATTCACAAGTAAATGGATGGAACTAGAGAACATCATCTTAAATGAAGTTAGTCAGGCTCAGAAGGCCAAAAATTGCATGTTCTCCCCCATATGCACATTATAGACCTAAAACAAATGCAGTAAAATTATTGGACATGGATCACACACTAAGGGGAGACCATGAATGTGGGAGGAATAGGGAAAGAGAAGGAAACCTAAAACTTGAATGTGGTTGATATGATCATTGTATAGAAGTGAATACAGTAATCTTAAACTGGAAGAGGCCACTGTGGGAAGGGGGGCAGGAAATAGTGAAGAGATCTGGAAGGAGTGAACCAGTGTGGGTTGTAATACACATATGCATGGAAACAACACTAGGAATATCTCTGTATAGCTATCTTTATCTCAAACTAGCAAAATGCTGTGTGTTTCTTATTACCTCTTACGTTTTCTCTTCAACAAAGAACCTCAGAGAACAAGAGGGCGGAATAGGTTCTGGCTGGGAAGTGGAGTGGAGGAGAGGTGGTCTAAATAATGTATACACATGTAAATAAATGTAAAAATGATAAAATAAAACTAAAGTAAAAACTAAATGAAACTTAAGAGTCAGATCTGCAAAAAAAGAAGAAATGGAAGACTCTGGAATCAGGATGTAGGAAAATAAATTGTTGGTCTTCAAAAGCGGATGGAATTTTCCAGGTGAACCAGTCCCTGCTATTGCCCAGAGACTCCTTGGTGCTTTCCTGCCAGTGAACATTCAGGTCCAGGTAGTTGTAACTATCTAGGTAGCTCCAGGAGGTTTTGGTGTAAGAGAAAAATGAGGAGAAAGCAGGACCACCTGTGTGTGTCAAATAGAGGT